GATGCCTGAATTAGTGATAGGGAGTGAAGTAGTTGTTGAGCGTGTCGATTGCGCTTCATTTATTGTGGGAGTCCCATCAGCGATGACTTTAAGGTTTCTGATGGAATCTCATCATGGATTGGCAAAGCTCAATCGGCTTTTGCTAACTCGCGTCACTTATGGCGCAGGCGAGATATCCATATGTCGATTAAAGGATCAGTATCCTGTGCTGCAGTTCACTCTTTCCTACTTTATGAACGTACATATAAGGGATAAAAGATATTCCTGGGTCACTGGTATTTGACCAAAGACATCTTTGAAGCATCGCTCATGTATTTTGGGACCGCTGAGTAGACGTTTCCCTGTGTCGACCATTAGATACAGTTGGCAAATCAATTGATAAGATAGTTCGTGGTTTTTATCCTCAACTACCACCTATCTTGACGAGTGTTGTCTACTGTGTAAGTTAGAAGAAAGTTAAAGGTAGCCAAACCAAAACGTGATACCAGTCTATGCAGTCATTGACAAATGTACAAAGCCACGTTAAGAGGTGTACACTAGTTGGTTGTAATTCGCATAAAAATCGTAACTAGTGATTAGAGACTTTGAATGCTATGGCCCAAAATCGTTTGCAATGGCACAGGTGGGTTCGTTCTAGATTCCTCACTATTTTTATTCCACTAATTTATATTTCTTTGAATCGTGTCTTTAATGACTAATCTTTCCTATTACCACTAATACTGTTACTACTTCTAGTACTGTGCAATTTACGCTAACAATTTCATTTCGCTGTATCAATGGAGTGTTTACACATACCAGGCTCTGCGTAGTGACTAACTGACTGACTTATATGATGAAGTCGATTACTCATACTAAACGGTGTTCTTTCTTCATTTATTCAAATATTATATAGAGTGTATTTAGTAGGTCTTGCTACAGATACATCTAAACTGTCTTTATAGCCGGTTCCTATTACCGCCAATTATTACAACACATCAATCAGAATCGGTTTATTATGTACTCTTTAGCTTAGTATCTTTAACTTGGACAATTATACACTCATCCTGTATTATTGACATTGAGCCGACAGCTAGGTTCCTATTAGTCTATCATTCTAAAACTTCTGTCTACGGCCACCTTTCAAATTAAAAGTTAACAACCAGTAACTTATATTGTGAACAGGCGTGATTCATATAGACAAACATACCGGATTGCATCATCATCAGTGGAGAAATAACAAACATAGTCAATTCAAAAGTGACTGTAAGTAAAGGAGACCGTTACTAATATACCAGAAATAGTTAGTTGTATTACAACACTAGTTCCTACGTTAACCGAAAGCTTCTAACAAACGCAATCCATGCATATAGTAGTCAGGTTACTAACTAACTAACTACAACAAAGCTATAATAGAATTCAGTAAACTCGTTTTCTTCCTTTACCATATCCATTCCGTTATGACGCAAGTCATGTTTATTACACAAATTACATTGATGTATTTTTTTCTTTTTTGTGAAAAAAATCATCATATTACGTGTTTTAAAACATGTTAAAGCTTGATTGTATGCGATTTTTTGTTTTTTCTTGCTTTTTTGTGTAATTTGAAGTACATCACTCATTCATTCAGTCATTTATTTGTACATTGATTTATTTTGTTGGCATGTTTGGAGTTCATGATAAGTAATGTATATGTTGTTATCAAGTAATTTTTTTTATCTGTTATTATTATTGTTGTTATTACTTTTTTTTTATTTTTCATTTAGTTAATTTTTTTTTATAATGACGACAGCAATAATAATAAATAAGATGCTTGATTTAACATGTTTTGCACTGTTTATTGTAATTTGTTTCTTATAATATATCGATAGATATGTGTGTGTGTGTGTTGTATGCATTTGCATTTATTTATGTTAATTTTTCTAATTACTACAATCTTTTTTTTTCTTTAAATTGACAGTGAAATACTATTTCTTCATGTAAAATAGTTAGATTGTAGCTAGTGTAGCGTAACTAAATGTTTACAAAATGCATGCTCTCTGGATGAGTTAGTGTCTGTTTGATTTTTGTAAGCGAGTGAATAATGCATGTTTAGTTCGAGTTCCTCCCTATGGTCATCAACATACACCGGGATGTAGTGGTACCTCCCGATGATGAGTCGTAAATAGTATGCAACTCGCCTGATAGATTCCACTGCTGCTTACAATTTTTCTTGAATTTCATAAAAGCAGGTCAAATGTCGAAGTGATGATCTGCACAATTAAGGCTTGTTAAAATTCCAGTGAAGGCTATCAAAAATGAAATAATTCAAGCCATTACCTACCATTCACAGTCACTAATACTGGATGTGCACAATAGTAATCCTGATTGCATGGGCATACATATGCACATGAATGCACATAAATGTGTACAATTCCTCTGTTTTATTATTATTATTATCGAATATGTCTTTATTCGGATGATGACAACATCACCTTCTATTTTATGATTCACTTCTGGTTTTTATTCATATTCTTCAAACTAACTTGAATACATACACTAGAGTATTTGATAACTTGTTTAAAAAATTATTGAAAGAAAGATGATGATAAACTCTTTGAAAACTTCAACTATATACAGATAGAGATAGGCAACAATTATTGCTGTTAGCTAACACATGTAAGGAAGATTAGATGTACAAAGTAAAAACGTTTGATGCACAATGATGCAGCTGTTTTTTTAATTTTAATTCAAACTTGACTATCCATATTTCGTTTATGCACAATCTTTTTATCATTATCAATTTGTTTACTGTTTTCTATGTCATCTTATCATGTGTCAATTTGGTAATGACAAATTTCTATCAGGTTCTATTAACAAAATCAAGTCAATACATTTGTGCATATGTTAGTTAGAATGTGATTTCTATTCATATTTTTTCAATCATAATCACAATATTATCATCCCCCCAAAATCATAACATCATAGTTTGAGATTATATTATGACTAGTGATATTCATTACAATCATATATATATATAATTTACATACTATGTAAGATAATGGATGATATATGATAATGTGATTAAGCTTTGACTGATTTGACTAACGTGTACATTGTTGGACACATGTACACATGTATTGTAAAAATAATGAAACAATTCACGCTTTTCTTCTAGGTTTTTTTTCTATTAAAGGTCATGTAGAGTGTTGTTGTTTAGTGTGTAAAATGCAACATGTCTAATTTGTTTTCCTACTTATTATTATTATGGTTCTTCATTTGTGTATTATCTGATAGAATAGTTTATTTATTTGTATTCTGTGTATCCTACTGGTTTATCTGAATAATTTCATTTTTACTTTACTTTATACACTATTCATTTCCTACTAGGTTGTTTATTGTCTTCATTCATTAAATAGTATATCAATTAGAGTTATGGAGATTAGTGTTTTTACACATTGAAATCATCAATCAATCAATCAATCATTGTTAGATCACCATTAGGAACCTGAAAGCACTGGACGGCCGTTTCGTCCTGATATGGGACTCATCAGTGGTGCGCACCCACGTGACCAGTGGGGTTCAACCCTGTCGGGTGTAGGCAGTAGCTACCAAAGACAAATGGGTGAGGTCGCGCAAAATCTCTAGATCAATCAGAGTTAGACATTAACACCGTTGGATGGCGGCCCTGTGGTCCAGAGGTTAGGTGTTTGCGCGCAAGACCGAAGGTCCAGGGTTTGAGTCCTGCAAGGTGCAGGAGTCGTGGATGCTCACTGCTGATGAGTCCCACACCAGGACGAAACGACCGTTCAGTGCTTCCAGGTTTCATATGGTTTTCTAACAATGACAGGTTGATGATTTCACTGTGTAAATAGCATATCGACGATTTAGCATTATAAAAGAAACCGGATTTTATTTTATTTTTTATCTTGTTAAATATATTAATGTAATAATATAATTCCCCTGTTATACGAATACATTACGATAAATTTGTAAATCAATAAATTACCTAATTTTTTTTTGTAACTAGTAATTACTTACTTACACCTGTCACCCCCAATGGAGCATAGGCTGCCCACTAGTGTTCTCCAACTTACTCTGTCCCTGGGCTTCCTTTTCCAATTCTGTCCAATTTTTGTTCATTCTTCTTATATCTTTCTCTATTTCTCGGCATGATGTGTTTCTTGGCTTAACTAGTAGTTGTGATTGTTATTTTCCCAGTGGTTTAGTCATAATACCTGGTAATAATAATCATAATATTTCCGTGTTATTTTGCTGTATTGCATTCTCTAAGCAAGTAAATAACTTGACAGATGCATCGACTCTTTGTGTTCTCACAAATTCTAACCTTCTGAATTCCTCATCATCTCTATCTTTCTCTTTTTAAATTTATCTCATTGAATTATACTTCTCGAATCAGATCTTCGAACCCTAATCTTTTTTCATTACTGCTAATACTTCTACTAGCTCTACCACTATGGGCTTTGAACTGACAGTTGCGTCTCTGTGCTGATGTGATATGGCATCCTGAACTGACTGACTGACTGAATAGCTTGACAAATGAGTGTAATCTTTTACTATTAACTTGTTAGGTAGTTAGAGTTGATCGATGAGAAATTTTGAAACTAAGGGTTTATGCTAATATTAACAATCATTCACTAGACTCACCTATAATCTTTAGGGAACTTATGAATTATCGAAACTAATGTATGTTTGTTTGAAACTATGATAATTATGGTAATTCAAATTAAGAATTCATTGATCTCAATAATATTTAATATATAAATTGTTAGTCAGAAAGAAAGAAAAATCGGGTTGTACTATTTCTAAAATTTCCTACTGTATGAAGTGTGTGTGGTAGTAATATATGTCCTGAATACTTGAAAAAAAGTTACTGACTTGTTTTTTTATGGTTATAGATGCAAATCAATAAATTCTTTAAATCTTTTTTAATTGTTAAGCAAAATTTTTTAAAAAAAAAATCAAAATATTAGAATACACTGTAAATTCTTTTCTACTTTTTTTTTCTTAAAAAAAACTTTCAGTCACAAACATCACCATCAACTGATCTCCTTCGTCATCGTCGACATCATCATCATCATCAACATCACTATCATCATAATCACAATCATTATCATCATGCTAATAATAATAATAATGATAATAACAATGGAGATTATCATCAGGAATCGAAACAGCCTTCAGATCATCATCATCAGCAACAACAACAGCAGCATCCATCATTGTATGCTTATAAATCACATTATGAAACTAGTCATATCTCGTCAAAAATATATTTATCACCGAATCATGAAACAGATAATGAATCTTTGGTAGACACTACTATTCCTAATGGTGACAATAAAATCTCCTCAATACAATCTAATAATAATCATAATCATTATCATCGTTCATATGAAGTGAATAAGAATAATATGAGTCTTCATGAAGACACGAATCATGATGATGATGTGCATTATCGAGATGATGAATCTTCTTCTCCTCCTCCTCCTTCTCTTCTTCCACACCATCATCATCATCAGCATAATCCTTATTGTTTTACAGATAATTTATCTACTGATACAATTATAACATCAAATTCTCCTATTCAGAATACAATGACCTCTCCTAATGGTTCACATCATCATCATCATCATAATCATCGCCATCGGCATCATCTTCATCCCACTGATCTTAATCGATCGCCATTGATTACTACTACAATGCCAAAAATAGAGCCAATGTATTCGCCTAAAACAAATCGATCATCACCGGAGTATAATTCATTAATGAATTCAATCAATCATTCCGTTGGGAATAATATGACATCATCATCACATGATTATCGTTTCATGTCGATGCCAGGAATGTGGAATTCTAAAATTAAGGTAAATTGTTATACTTTCTCTCTCTCTCTCTCTCTCTCTCTCTCTATATATATATATATATATATATATATATATATATATATATATATATATATATGCGAAGTTTATGTAAAGCAAACATCACATTAGTTTTACTAAACGTTCATAAAATATCCTGTTGTTAATATTCAGAACTGTAATTCATCTCACTTCTAGTTTTGAATACCAAAAATGAGAAACTAAACACCTTTTTTCTAGTAAACATTTATATCCTTTGAACAAGTTTGTGGCGAACTGTCACCGGAATTCGTTACTTCAAGTGGTGTCCGTCAGGGATGTCCACTCTCTTCATTCTTGTTTAATTTTAACATACACATGCTTCTAGATATAATCTTATCCTCGTCTGAATTTTCAGGAGTAGACCTTCTACCAGGAAAATCGCTTGCTGACTTAGAATATGCTGATGACATTGTTCTATTTGGTGAAGACGCTGACGAAATGCAGAGTCTTCTGACTACCCTAAGCAACAATGCAAACATGCTTGGGATGCGGTTTTCTCCCTCAAAATGCAAAATGTTGCTTCAAGACTGGGTTTCATCGGCACCTGAACTGGTGATAGGGAGTGAAGTAGTTGAACGTGTAGACCGCTTCACTTATCTTGGTAGTCTCATCAGTGCTGATGTCCTGGTGACTGACGAAATCTCAGCTCGAATACAGAAGGCTCGATTGGCTTTTGCCAACCAGCGTCACCTATGGCGCAGGCGAGATATCTGTTTGCTGACTAAAGGACGAGTGTACTGCGCAGTAGTTCGCTCCGTCCCACTGTATGGCTGTGAAACACGGCCAGCGAGAGTAGAAGATATTCTTAGGTTACTGGTTTTCGATCACAGGTGTCTTCGAAGCATTGCTCGTATATCATGGGACAACCGAGTGAGCAATGTTGTTATTAGGAAACGGGTGCTAGGTAAGGATGGCAGGTCAATAGATGAAGTGGTGAAAATTCATCGAGGTGGTTGGGATATATGTTACGTACCTCGAACACTGACCACCTCGACGACCGATGTCGTCTGACGTATTAGTCGCCTGGAAGAAAGCTTTAGCGGCCAAACCAAAACTTGACACAAACCGATAAAGTCACTGAAACCATGTTAGTAGATGTAGACTATCTGGTGGGGGCCGTGCAAGATAACGGTAACCTGTGGTTGTAGAATGGCAACGACATGGCTCAAAATCGCTTTCGATGTCACAGGGACATCCATTCTTTGACTTCCCTCAATTTCTAATCTTCTGGATTCTCGATGACCTTTATCTTTCGCTTTTTAAATTCCATACCTTCAATCTCTAATCTTCTCGATTGCCGCTAATATGTCTACTACCTCTTCTACTGTCCGATTGGAACTGACAATTCCGTGTCTTTCTGCTCTAATATGGTAATCACAACTAGAACTGATGTTACTTATTTATACCAAGTTCTATGTGATTGCTGATTGAGAAACAGGTTTTTGACATTTGCATAAATTTGTACAATCCGTCTTCAAGTCCATACATTCATCCTCGTTCATATCTGTAATGAGAAAATAGAGTCATGCATTTGATAATCGTCAAGCTAGTAGCTCTTAGTGAACATATGATTCTTATTAGTATAGTGGATTTTTGAAGATTTTGAGTATTTTCACTGTTGAAATCAAACACTGATCTTATCTAAACCTACATTAAAACGGTGGAAACACTGGATAAGCGTTTATTATTATTATTATTATTGTGACATTAACATTTTAATTATTTTATTCCATTTACTACATTATAAGTCATTGTTAACTTTCTAACGGCTTTTTGACTTTCGCTCTCTCACACACACACACACACACACAATCTTTCATTGTTATCATTTATTTTGTGTAATCTAGTATTATTATATAATCTTTTTATTACATAATCTTGTTTGTTCATTGCTTATATGAGATCGTGGAGTTGATATATATATATATATATTTGGACGCTAATTAGAACGAATAATTCAAATCTATATGATTGTATAGATTGATAATAATGAATTCATTCGAAAGAAATCTATCTATCCCTATGCCAAACTTGGCACTTTATCTGTTTTTAAATTTTTGAAATATTAAACTAAATGAGAAACGGTAATACTAGACGAGTTGAATGAATTTTTAATTCATTGCGTGATATATTAATCACTCTATCGCTTCACTAGTCTTATTTTTTGAATGCATTTGATTTTTATTAACGCTTTAAGTACTGTTGTTTTCTTCTCATTTTGTTTCCCTCTTTTCTATCCTTCCTTTCTTTCTTTATAATAAATTTTTTCTCTTTTTTCTCCTGATTCCTAAACAGTACAGAACTATGATTTATGTTTGTATGTGTGTGTGTGTGTGCGTGCGTGTGCATGCCTGTGTGTTAGCATTATAGTCTATTTATTGTAAGCTAGATAGGATACTGTATCAATAATGATATTTATGAATTGTATTAGTGTTGTTTTGTTAATATCTACTTTCTGTTTGTTATTCGCCACTCTCTCACTCTCTCTCTCTCCTACTTCCAACTTGTTGCCATTACCATGTTTATTATCATCTCAAGGTCGAGAGGATTTGGTTATTTCACTTTATCATGATAGTAATTTTTTTTGTCAATATTATTATTATTATGGACTACGATAATCAGTTAGCATATGGTTAGGCTTGTGAAAGCATAGTCTATTTTCTCGAAAATGGTTAAAAATTCAGTGCTGCATACGCCAAATCATACTATATCCTAAGTTTGATAAGGCATTGAGTAGGATTTACCTGACAGTGGCTATATGAGAACAGTTGGAAAAGGAGAGCCGATTCTTTCCTCTCTCAGCCATACCAGGGTAGTTGGGTGACACGGTTCAGAATCCATCACAATTCTATAAATCTAAACTCTCATTCTTCTTTTGTACATGGATTTTTCATTCGATCTTTTCAAACAAGATTCTCAGTTCGTAGTTTGGATATGGTAATTACCACTGCATTTTTTCTATCCTTTTGTTAGTAAATTTTATTAATTTCATCTCATCATATCCGTATGGTGCATTAACTTATGCTTACACACACGTAAATAAGTTATATTATTTATTTATTTATGGCAGAAATCCATGAAGTCATTGACAAGTGGACTGAGTCATGTCGGTAATTGTCGACTACCTGGTTGAGGTCCGCGAGATGATAATAATCGATGGTTAGAGACCTTGAATGACATGGCTCAAAATCGTTCGCAATGGCGCCGGTGCATTTATTCTTTGTGTTCTCTCAAATCGTAATCTTCTGGATTCTTCAACCCCTCTAGTTTGGACTTTCTAAACTTTTCTCACTGAATCATACTTCTTGAATAATATCTTCTAATCTTAACCTCTCCGATTACTCGTATTACCTTTACTACCTCTTCTATTATTGGATTTGAATTGACAATTATATCTCTGTGCTGATGTGTTATGGCGACATGAACTGATGTACTTACGTACGAAGTTCTACGTTGCAACTGACTGACTGACTGACACACGTAAATATTTCAGTCTCTCGATTGATTATAACTAATCGACAGGTGTGTAGTGCCAATAAGTCTTGCAACAAAAGTTAAGCATACTAACCTACACTTGTTTTAATGCGTTTGATAATTTTTATTTTTTTAAGTTTATTTTATTTATAAAACTGTCTTTCAAGCAATAAAAGTTTTTCAATTATCTTGTTTTGCTGTTTTTCATGGTAGGTGAACGAACAGCCATCATTCACCTTTTAAATTCAAGTTGTTTTTCTTCCAAAAACAAAGAAATTACCTCCCGTTTCATTAAACTGTATTGTTTTGTTTATGTAGTCGGACTGAAAATGTAGTCCAGTCAACTTGTTTACTCATTCTATGGAAACTTGATGTGTTCATACTTCAGTTCCATTTAAAATTACATATCAATCAAACAATTATTGTTATTAACGTCAGTTAATGAAATTATACATTTTTGAATAGTTATCAGCATCACTGCGGTTCAGGGAGTGTGTTTTTTGCTGTAACCTAGGACTTATCGGCTGATTGTACTAAGGTAGTGTGGCTTAATGAACGACGTATAATAATCGAAAAGAGATTCAGACCAGTAATATACCAATTGTCAACATGTATTATTGGTACTGGATAAACTTTTGTTTCTCATTGGGTCATATAATGTCATATGATAAAATGTAAATAACATTAAAATAATATCACATTATCATCTACAAATTTGCTGACAGTTTCACCTTTCATTATCTCTATCACATACCTCTTTATCTTAATTTCATTATGAACTATGAACCCTTGTATTTATTATTTCACACATCAATAAGTTATCTTTTATGCTATTGGATCTATAAAGCTATTAATTTGTTCAATGTGTAATATATGTAATTATCAACATGTGGTTTTGCATTTTTTTCATTTGCGGGTTCGAATCTGATCCGCCTATGCAGTTTGATTAGTTGTTGTTGTTGTTGCATTCTCAGGCTGCCACTCTCCTCCTGTCTAGACTTTGCTCCAACTACCTGCAGCTAAGCTTCATCTAATTCAAATTAATTATCAAAGTTTATTCATCAATAATCTAATTTTCTAAAACTATTTTGTTGAAGTTTTGTTTCTTATGATATTTAAGCTGTTTCATTTCTTTTTTTGTAAAACAAAAAAAACTTCATCGTATGTTTTACACTCCTAGTTTGTATTTTCTCAAACCAGTATCGTTATGGACCAATTCATTTTAACGTTCCCGTTCTTTGTTATCTATATTATTGGTTTTTCGATCATAGGTGTCTTCGAAGCATTGCTCGTATATCCTGGGACACCAGAGTGAGCAACGCTGTTATTTCGGAATCAGGTTCTAGGTAAGGATGGCAGACCAATAGATGAACTGCTGAAACTTCATCAGTTGAGGTGGTTGGGACATATGTTGCGTATGCCTAACCACCGACTGCCTCGACAAACTTTGTTTTGTAGTGTAGGAATAGGTTGGAAGAAAGCTAGGGGTGGCCAAATCAAAACATGGCAGAAATCCATGAAATCATTGACAAGTGGACTGTGCCATGTCGGTAATTGTCGACTACCTGGTTGGGGTCCGCGAGATGATAATAATGGATGGCTAGAGACCTTGAATGACATGGCTCAAAATCGTTCGCAATGGCGCCGGTGCATTCATTCTTTGTGTTCTCTCAAATCCTAATCTTCTGGATTCTTCAACACCTCTAGTTTTGACTTTCTAAACTTTTCTCACTGAATCATATTTCTTGAATAATATCTTCTAATCCTAACCTCTCCGATTACTTCTAATACGTTAACTACCTCTTCTACTATTGGATTTGAATTGACAAAATACATGTCTGTGCTGATGTGGTATGGCAACATGAACTGATGTACTTACGTACGAAGTTCTACGTTGCATCTGACTGACTGACTGACTGATATTATTGGTTCACTTAAAAATGTAATTATCATGTTTCATTTTAACTGGTTCAACTTATTTCCAAGGATGTATTGAAATATTCTAGAGGTTAAGCGCTCTTCCTGAAATGTAAGGTTCTTGGTTTTTTAATTCCCTGGTCTCGTCCTGGTTGTCGTAAATACTGCACTCCTGAAGAAGGAATCCAACACTAATACAAAATAGTTGTCCAGTTCGTTCAGGTTTACACCAGTAGTCTAACTATGATCAGTTTGCTATACCCTACTGTGAAATTAATTTTTATGTCATTTTTAATCAGAGGTTAAACATGGAGAACAGAACGAAGGAACGAGCGAGCGAGCGAGTGTGTGTGAGAGAGAGAGAATAAGAGCGACATGTAAAGTGAATTATAATGCTAAAATTTCACTTTATCTATGTTTTATACATCGATAATCACATATATAAATACGCATATATATGTATATTCATTTACGTGTGTGTGTGTGTTTGTATGCACGTAGCGTAATAAACTGATTTATGTATGTATGTAAATCTCTCGTTTATTCTACTGTATTTTTTCTTTGAAAACTTTAAATTCATTAATTCCTAATTTTTTCTTGTTCTTGTTCTATTTTAGCCGGATATTATCTCACCGCAAAAAACTGACAAGATAACATATGGTAAGTGTTAAAAAAAACTGGAATACATCATGAATGAATGAATGAATGAATGCGCTTATATATATATGTATATATATTTTTATACAAATTCTCTTTTCTTTCTCTTCATTTTCTTATTTTACACGATGGTGGTGAATGGAGAGTGAACAAAAGTGATATTTTTTATTCTTTTTTTCAGAATTTGTTTTGTTTTATATATGCTTCTGATTAGTTTATATTTGTATTTGAAGCTTCACCGTACTGATTAGCTTTTAATGTTAAAACTCATTCAACTTTCATAGACACCACTGGAGACTGAGTTTAATATTTTGGCAAAAGACAATTAGTTAAGTAGTAAGTACTGTCTAGGAAAAGTGTCTATCCAAACTACTGGCCTATCTATTTGACAATAAAAGAAATATTTCAGAAAATGTTTCCTATATTAGGCTTTTAGAGATGATGATACTTTTATCGTTTGAATTTTCTGTAGTTGAACTTTTACCCGAAGATTCACTTGTTGACAAGTTTAGTTTAGTGAAGACGCTGACAAATTGAAGTCTTCTGACCATCCTAAGCAGCAAAACTGGCTACCTTGGTGCGCGATGTTGTCCGATGTAGGAGGAGTAAGCTGGAAGAAAGCAAGAGGCTGCCCGATCAATACATGGCACAAATCTATGAAGTCACTGACAAGTGGACTGAGTCATGTTGGTAGATGTAGACTACCTGATTCGGGTCAACGAGATGATAGTAATCGATGGTTAGAGACTTTGAATAGAATAACATGGCTCAAAATTGCTTGCAATGGCACTCCCAAATTCTAATCTTCTGGATCCCCTTGTCATCTTTGTCTTTCTCTTTTTAAATTTATTTTACTGAGATATACTTCTCGAATCATGTCTTCGAACCCTAACTTTCTCAATTATCGCTAATACTTCTGCTGTCGGATTTGAACTAACGATTTCGTGTCTTTGTGCTAATATGGCTTGGTAACTTGAACTGATTTACGTACGTACGAGGTTTTTCGTTGTAGCTGACTGACTGACTGACTAACTAACGTTTTAGTTTTAACCTATACAAAAAAACTATCTTTTATCGATGAATCGAATTCTAACAATGTAGTTCGTTATGAATAACCTTTACGGATAGAATAATTTAATACTCACTGCCAAATGGTTTGATGGATCGCTATGATTGTATACTCTAATATCTTAGTCGTAATCAAGTAGCATTGATTTTTAACGAAATGGAAATATAAACTATGTTTTGTGTTCAAAATCAAACTTTTTTGAGATGTGTTAAATACTGTATCTTTTTAGAGAAATTCGAAAACAACTAACTGACTATGTTGAAGACCCTCACTAGTTGAATTTGAATCAGTCCATATTATTGCTACTTTCTTTTAGTTGGTTTGCTATATAACGCAACTATCATGTATAATATCTATTTATTCCATATAATATAGTAATTATTTTCATTGATCATAACGTTTTTCTTTATTAGTTTTAATATATTTCATTTGAGAGTAAATCAGTGACATTTCTAATGAATAATGTCAATATCCTAACAGGATATGCATATCTTTACGATGTCAATTACAATTCAACTCCTACTGTGGGAGTTATACTTTTGTTTTATTTTTTGTCTACGGATAAAACTAATGACCCGTTTTTTCGTATATTTCACATAATTATTCAATAGTAAACATGCAAAAGTTCGTAGTGCAATACCTAGTTGGGGTACACTAGCTTATCATAACATAACCAATAGTCAGATACTTTGGGTTGATGATATAGTCCAGCATTGTTCGCAGTGACACAGTTCCAGTCACTTCTTATCTTCCCCTTAGATCCTAAGTTCTTATCATTAGTTCTGTGACTAATTCTACTATTGTAGGATTTGCCTTGACAATTTCATTTCACTGTGAAAATTATATAAGATATGACAAATTGAACTGATGTACATATGCACCAGATTCTACTTGGCGTTCGATTAAATGATTTGTACATCCATATATATATATATATATATATATATATATATATATATATATATATTAGTGTCGTTAACATAAAAGAATTTTCTCAGTTAAATATTGAACACATGTGAATCAAATAAAATATAATCGATCAATAGATCATTATTATTACTGCTATCATTGTTAAGTATTTTTTCTTATTTTCAATCGTCCATTTATTATTAGTGACTGGTTTGAATAATTTACAAAATACAATAAAGATAGTAAATTTTTATATTTCGCGCTTCACTCAATCACTCACTCACCCACTCAATTCCCTTCATTTTTGATTTTAATTTATCTTCATGACTATGCGATAAATGAAAAGTAGTTTACATTTGTAACAGAAAAATACATAATTATCGAATTACAATTTCTTAATTCAATCCTACTGTACGTATGAATTTACTTATATAACGCGCTCTTTTGTTATTGTCAATATGAAGCTTTGGATTTGAAGAATATCGTAGATAATCGGTAAACATTAGTGACATATATATATTTGCTCACCAGTGACTAGCTCCGTGAGGAATCTTCTCCGAGTTCTAGTGAGAAATTGTGACCAGTGAAGTTCAACCTGTTCAGGTGTAGGCAGTAACTACTGAAGACAGTGTATGAGGTTGCGCAACTCCGTGAATATGATCAAGTTAGACATTAACACCGTTAGATACCGGCTCAGTGGTCCGATGGTTAGGCGTTCGCCTACAACACCGAAGGTCCTGGGTTCGAATCCTGCGAGGTGCAGGAGTCGTGGATGCGTACTGCTGAGGAGTCCTATACCAGGACGAAACGGGCGTCTTTCACTACTTCCAGGTTTCTAATGTTGGTCTAACATTGATCGATTCATGGTTTCAAAAATATATATATTTATATAGAGTGGAACAGCCAGTAACTATATTACTATCCATCTCAATCGATTGTGATCATGTATTCCTCTTTGAATACTCAACTGTTGTCATTCCTAGTTTTTCGCATGTAAAGAGTGTTTCATGAATGTATGAGTCACTGTACTTGCCTTTTTCACAACTTTACACCGTCATTCCGCTATAAGTATTTTCTCTATTGTTTTTGTATGCTGTTTTTTTCACCGTACAATAAAACAAAGTATCCATTCTATTATACAGGATGAAGCTGTTTAGACATTTTGAAGGTGTGATTTTCTTTGAGTTGCATAGTTTCATTGTGAAGCTATCATTATCCTTTCTGAACAGCATCATCAGTATATTTGCTTTGAAGGAAAGTGAACTTCTATGACTACTACACAATATCTGTAAATTTAGGCATATATTTCATAGATGACTGATGATTTGTATTACAATTTAATTGGTAAATTCTTTTGAGTAAAAACATTTCTTCAAATCATTTACTTTATGGTCTTATTTATGGCAGTATTCATGTGAGACTAGTGTTGCTGTTTTTAATTCCCTCATGCCGCGAATGTTGAGGAGTCTCTTACTAGGTAGGACAAAGCAGCTGTCCATTGCTCCAAGGTTTCTAATGATGGCTTTTAACTTAGATCAATTTGTGATTTAATATTATATATCATTATTAGTTATTAGTAAATTCTTTAAATTTCCCAAAATTGTTTTTACTTATTTAATTGTTTTAGGTAACCATTCAGATGTCCAATGATATTAAAACAATGCCAAAGATTTCTATTCCAATTGAAAATCCTAAACGATCTGATTCAATCAACAGTAATAAATCTCATTGTCATCAATTTAGTGTTGCTGCTCTAACTGATGAAGTAACACATTCCTCCGCTTGTTCAGAAGAATCCACAAAGCCACAAACTACTATTCTTTCTAAATCTGCAAAACATCCAACTGGTAAAAAGCGAGCTTATAGGAAATCAGAACAACGTGATATCACAAATATTATCTCTGATAAATATTCACATCGTCATAATGATTATGATAAATCTTTTATACATTGTAAATTGAACAATTCTACACAAGCAAATCAATATTCAATTGTAGATAATAATAATAATAATAATAAATATCGGAATTCAACAATTAACGATTCATTAAAAGGAGTACCATACTTTCCTACAACTGTTAGCACAACTCATAATTATGATCGAATACATGATACAGTTTCAAAGTATGCTTCATTCACAAATCGTAATGTCAATTCAATGCCATTTACTGTACGTAATCCAACGGATTCTCTCCCTGGTCATCATCCATATTTACCACCAAGAGGATTTTCAGATGCTACTACTACAAGTTGTAGTTCACAAATCAGACCACAGTCATCATCAACAGCAACCTCTTCAATGCCATCATCATTATGCCCGAATTCATTATTTTCACATCAAAATTTATTAAAACAATTCATGGGTATTGATTCGGAAACTGCTAATCAGCTACTCAATGATCCACGTTTTATGGAACTCTATGCATTGACTATGGCTACTTTAAACAACAATGTTGACAGTGTTATTCCTGAGTCGATCTTACCATCATTATCACGAATGCCCTTGTCTAATAATAATAGTAATAATAATCATAATGAAAATACAATGATATCGACGACATCAGTTCACAGTAATAATAATCAAAATAACAATTTAAATAATCAATACCGAAATGGAAATACCATGGGACATTCACGAGTTGATCCTGTACAATTCACAGAAACATCGTAAGTTGTTGTCGTTGTTGTTGTTGTTTCAGTGTATTTTGTAGCAATTAAACCTATAGTCAGTCAGTCAGTCAGTCAGTTACAACGTAGAACTTCGTACGTATGTACATCAGTTCAGGTTGCCATACCCCAATAGCACAGAGACGCAACCATCAGTTCAAACCCAATAGTGGTAGCGATAGTAGAAGTATTGGCAGTAATGGAGAAGATTAAGGTATAATTCACTGAGATTAAATTAGAAAGAGAAAGAAAGAGATGATGAGGAATTCAGAAGGTTAGAATTCGATAGAACACAAAGAGTGGATGCACTTACGCCATTGCAAACGATTCTGAGCCATGTCATTCAAGGTCTCTCTAACCATCGGTGACTATCGTCTCGCCGACCCCAACCAGGTAGTCTAGATCTGCTAACATGACTCAGTCCACTTGTCAGTGACTTCATGGATTTCTGCCATGTTTTGGTTTGGCCACCCCTAACTTTCTTCCAACCTACTCCTACACCACAAAACATAGCTCGTCGCGGCAGTCGGTGGTTAGTCATACGTAACACATGTTCCAACCACCTCAACTGATGAAGTTTCACTACTTCATCTATTGATTTGCCATCTTTACCTGTCACCCGTTTCCTAACAACAGCGTTGCTTACTTAGTTGTCCCACGACACTTGAGCAGTGCTTCTAAAACATCTATAATCGAATACTAGTAACCTTCGAGTATATTTTACTCTTACCGGCCATGTTAATTAAACTGATAAATTTCTTATCTAATTTTCCTTCAACATAAATGTGAGAATTTAACTTTTGAATTATCTATATATCATAACTGATAAGATGTGTAGCAGCTAATTATATAATAATAATAATAATAATAATAATAATAATAATAATTCGTTACCTTAATTTTTTTCCTCAAATTCACATAATACTACGTTATTTGTTAAATTAATTGTAGGTTAATTCACTTATTTTTCATTATTCTCATAGTCTAAAAACGATCAAAACTTTCATATGAAGTGGTCCACTTATATTAACTAATTTGTTGATCCCATTCAATTGTTACATTTGTGATTGGTCAAAGCGTATGATGGGGGAGGGGGGGAAAAAGGGTGATCTGTCTCATTGATTTTCAACAACTGTTTGCCCCCAAGATAGAAATTTGTTCAGCTGGTTATTTCTTATGATCATATCATTATTATTATTGTGGAGTAGTTGTTGCTTATTTTTTGAAAAGTTCACTGATTATCTTCTCTAAGTTTGTGAAAGAGAAAAAAATCGGTAATGTTTACTACTTTAGGATTTTCTAAATAATTACTAAACTATATTAGCTTCTTCATGGAATACTGAGGTGCAATGACTTTGGTGGTTGAAATGTTCATCTCTGAGGTCGGTGTTTAACAAATTTGGATGACATGGTTCATAGTCGTTTTCATTGGCACAGATGCATTCATGTTTTGCTTGTCTTCTCTCTCATAATCTAATCTTCTGAATTCCGTATAACCTTTATCTTTGTTTTTTTAAATATCTTTCACTGGGATTTACTTTTCGAATTATATCTTGGATCCTTGATCTTTCCAATTACCGTCAATAACTGCTCTAACCCTCTACTATTATTGGATTAGAACTGACAATTTCATCTTTTTTGCTAATGCAGCATAATGACTTCAGTTGATATGAGTACGTGCTAAGTTCTACGTTACAGCTGACACTAGTCGAAGATAAATCATTTGCGAACTTATACTTTTTTATACACCAGTAAAATTGCCTCGATATTAATACTAATACCTGTGGCGATGTAACTAATTTTTCAACTGAAGATTAATTGAATTTGTGTGTGTTAATTTGCACATTATGCATTTAGGAGTTCTGACGCTGGACTGTGTGACTAAAAGTCAAGTGGCCTTGTATAACTGCTGAACTAGATGACAGTTTTTAGAATAAAATCATTTTAATAAGGAACTCATTGATAGTAACTTCAATTAGTATAGCATAGCGTAGCTAACATAATAACACTGGTGTAAATTCAAAAGTATGACAAAATTCTAGTCAATATTATATATTTTACTATTGCATTTCACATAACATCATTTCAACTATAATGACCGATCAATAAGTCATAGTTAATACACAGAGTCTGGCACATATTTTATATATATAACACAGTGGGATGCAAGTTATAAAATAAAATTAGAAGCAACAGAAGTAACTATGTAGTTGGAAATTTTGTTTTAAAACATAAAATATTGAGAATATGGTTGGTTCAACAAAAGGTGAAATGAAATATATGCATAGAGCAATAATAATGTTATGCCATATTGAAAGGAATACAAAGAGAGTTAGTAGTGTGACCGAATCCGAGCGATTCTTGTCGAAGTTTCCAATCACTGATGACAGTTATCAACACATGGACACCAACCAGGCAGTCATCATCTTCTTCATTAAAATAATTCAGAATAATAGGGGATCAATGTTAATAGGCTTCTGTCCTGAGCTTTTCGGATAAGTAACATTTAAGTTTGTGTTTAACTTTAGAAATCCCTTTAATCTTACATTGTTAAAAGACATTCCACATGTTTCCTGTTTCCGTATTGGATAAATATATTTTGTAAGTATTTTTTTTTGCATTACGGGGTTGTGAAGATTGTTAAGTTACACATTTTTGAAACCATGAATCGATCAATGTTAGACCACCATTAGAAACCTGGAAGCACTGAATGACGGCCGTTTCGTCCTGGTATGGGACTCCTCAGCAGTGCGCATCCACGACTCCTGCACCCCGCAGGATTCGAACCCAGGACCTTCGGTATTGTGTGCGAACGCCCTAACCGTTAGACCACTGAGCTGGTATCTAACGGTGTCAATGTCTAACTTGATCATATTCACGGAGTTGTGCAACCTCATACACAGTCTTCGGTAGTTACTGTCTACACCCGAACAGGTTGAACTTCACTGGTCACTTCATTGGTCTTCTCAATTAATTATTGATAGGTGTAGTAGGGAGAAAGAATAATTAGGAAAATGTGAACTTATGTTATTGATCACTGGTGTGTGTGCGCCGTTAATACTATTCTTACTGTCTTTTACTGGACGATCTATGTATTAAAAAATGTCTAACACTTTATTCTGGTCTATTTTAACACTGATGAAATTTGACCTTTTGAAGTTAGGCCATATATTCTTAAGCTACCAATATGATATATAAGCATAGATGTTGTCAAGGTAAACACTGTGATCGATTAGGTGGTAATCATTTTCATGTGTGTTGCACATATGCCCAACCGCGTATCACCTTAGTCTAGTAGTAGCTTAGACGAAATCTACGGCGTAACCAGATTCACATAAGAGAGATCATTTATGGAACACTTAGTTATATATTTTAAACAACCACATAAACACTCGCACACGCACACACACACACACACGATACTACTACCTAACAAATAAAGTGATCCATCTAAGCCGATTAAAAAGCAGTTCGTTTTTCTTTAAAAACTTAACAATAATAATATTAATAATAATTTGTCTACGTTTTGTTTTCTTTGTTATATTTCAATAATAATAATAATAATAACGCTGTTCACATCATATCAAAATATCACATGTACACTGTGTTTCGGTTATGTGATGTTTTGATACAAATAAGTATATTGATAATTATCAGGGTAGTTTTTGTCAAATTTTCTTTACTTCTTTGTTTGTGTTAAAAAAAAAACGCAGTGAGCAGTGCGTGAATGCTCCGTCCGTCACCACTACCACACGGATGGAATGTGTGAGGAAAGATGTATCTCAGTGGATTTGTGCACGTGTCTCCTGTGTATTTTTTTAAAAAAATAGAATAAAGAAAATTTGACAAAAACTACCCTGATAATTATCAATATACTATTTGTATCAAAACATCACATACCGAAACACAGTGTACATGTGATATTTTGATATGATGTGAACAGCGTTATTATTATTATTATTATTGAAATATAACAAAGAAAACAAAACGTAGACAATATTATTATTATTAATATTATTATTGTTAAGTTTTTAAAGAAAAACGAACTGCTTTTAATCGGCTTAGATGGATCACTTTATTTGTTAGGTAGTAGTATCGTGTGTGTGTGTGTGTGCGTGTGCGAGTGTTTATGTGGTTGTTTAAAATATATAACTAAGTGTTCCATAAATGATCTCTCTTATGTGAATCTGGTTACGCCGTAGATTTCGTCTAAGCTACTACTAGACTAAGGTGATACGCGGTTGGGCATATGTGCAACACACATGAAAATGATTACCACCTAATCGATCACAGTGTTTACCTTGACAACATCTATGCTTATATATCATATTGGTAGCTTAAGAATATATGGCCTAACTTCAAAAGGTCAAATTTCATCAGTGTTAAAATAGACCAGAATAAAGTGTTAGACATTTTTTAATACATAGATCGTCCAGTAAAAGACAGTAAGAATAGTATTAACGGCGCACACACACCAGTGATCAATAACATAAGTTCACAATTTTCCTAATTATTCTTTCTCCCTACTACACCTATCAATAATTAATTGAGAAGACCAATGAAGTGACCAGTGAAGTTCAACCTGTTCGGGTGTAGACAGTAACTACCGAAGACTGTGTATGAGGTTGCACAACTCCGTGAATATGATCAAGTTAGACATTGACACCGTTAGATACCAGCTCAGTGGTCTATCGGTTAGGGCGTTCGCACACAATACCGAAGGTCCTGGGTTCGAATCCTGCGGGGTGCAGGAGTCGTGGATGCGCACTGCTGAGGAGTCCCATACCAGGACGAAACGGCCGTCATTCAGTGCTTCCAGGTTTCTAATGGTGGTCTAACATTGATCGATTCATGGTTTCAAAAATGTGTAACTTAACAATCTTCACAACCCCGTAATGCAAAAAAAATACTTACAAAATATATTTATCCAATACGGAAACAGGAAACATGTGGAATGTCTTTTAACAATGTAAGATTAAAGGGATTTCTAAAGTTAAACAAACTTAAATGTTACTTATCCGAAAAGCTCAGGACAGAAGCCTATTAACATTGATCCCCTATTATTCTGAATTATTTTAATGAAGAAGATGATGACTGCCTGGTTGGTGTCCATGTGTTGATAACTGTCATCAGTGATTGGAAACTTCGACAAGAATCGCTCGGATTCGGTCACACTACTAACTCTCTTTGTATTCCTTTCAATATGGCATAACATTATTATTGCTCTATGCATATATTTCATTTCACCTTTTGTTGAACCAACCATATTCTCAATATTTTATGTTTTAAAACAAAATTTCCAACTACATAGTTACTTCTGTTGCTTCTAATTTTATTTTATAACTTGCATCCCACTGTGTTATATATATAAAATATGTGCCAGACTCTGTGTATTAACTATGACTTATTGATCGGTCATTATAGTTGAAATGATGTTATGTGAAATGCAATAGTAAAATATATAATATTGACTAGAATTTTGTCATACTTTTGAATTTACACCAGTGTTATTATGTTAGCTACGCTATGCTATACTAATTGAAGTTACTATCAATGAGTTCCTTATTAAAATGATTTTATTCTAAAAACTGTCATCTAGTTCAGCAGTTATACAAGGCCACTTGACTTTTAGTCACACAGTCCAGCGTCAGAACTCCTAAATGCATAATGTGCAAATTAACACACACAAATTCAATTAATCTTCAGTTGAAAAATTAGTTACATCGCCACAGGTATTAGTATTAATATCGAGGCAATTTTACTGGTGTATAAAAAAGTATAAGTTCGCAAATGATTTATCTTCGACTAGTGTCAGCTGTAACGTAGAACTTAGCACGTACTCATATCAACTGAAGTCATTATGCTGCATTAGCAAAAAAGATGAAATTGTCAGTTCTAATCCAATAATAGTAGAGGGTTAGAGCAGTTATTGACGGTAATTGGAAAGATCAAGGATCCAAGATATAATTCGAAAAGTAAATCCCAGTGAACGATATTTAAAAAAAACAAAGATAAAGGTTATACGGAAATTCAGAAGATTAGATTATGAGATGAGAAGACAAGCAAAAGCATGAATGCATCTGTGCCAATGAAAACGACTATGAACCAATGTCATCCAAATTTGTTAAACACCGACCTCAGAGATGAACATTTCAACCACCAAAAGTCATTGCACCTCAGTATTCCATGAAGAAGCTAATATAGTTTAGTAATTATTTAGAAAATCCTAAAGTAGTAAACATTACCGATTTTTTTTCTCTTTCACAAACTTTAGAGAAGATAATCAGTGAACTTTTCAAAAATAAGCAACAACTACTCCACAATAATAATAATGATATGATCATCAGAAGAAATAACCAGCTGAACAGCAAAATTTCTATCTTGGGGGCAAACAGTTTGTTGAAAATCAATGAGACAGTATCACCCTGTTGTCCCCCCCTCCCCCATCATACGCTTGACCAATCACAAATGTAACAATTGAATGGGATCAACAAAATTAGTTTAATATAAGGTGGACCACTTCATATGAAAGGTTTTGATCGTTTTTAGACTATGAGAATAATGAAAAATAAGTATGAATTAACCTACAATTAATTTAACAAATAACGTAGTATTATGTGAATTTGAGGAACAAAAATTAAGGTAACGAATTATTATTATTATTATTATTATTATTATTATTATTATATAATTAGCTGCTACACATCTTATCAGTTATGATATATAGATAATTCAAAAGTTAAATTCTCACATTTATGTTGAAGGAAAATATTAGATAAGAAATTTATCAGTTTAATTAACATGGCCGGTAAGAGTAAATATACTCTCGAAGGTTACTAGTATTCGATTATAGATGTTTTAGAAGCACTGCTCAAGTGTCGTGGGACAACTAGTAAGCAACGCTGTTGTTAGGAAACGGGTGACAGGTAAAGATGGCAAATCAATAGATGAAGTAGTGAAACTTCATCAGTTGAGGTGGTTGGAACATGTGTTACGTATGACTAACCACCGACTGCCGCGACGAGCTATTTTGTGGTGTAGGAGTAGGTTGGAAGAAAGTTAGGGGTGGCCAAACCAAAACATGGCAGAAATCCATGAAGTCACTGACCAAGTGGACTGAGTCATGTTAGCAGATCTAGACTACCTGGTTGGGGTCGGCGAGACGATAGTCACCGATGGTTAGAGAGACCTTGAATGACATGGCTCAGAATCGTTTGCAAATGGCGTAAGTGCATCCACTCTTTGTGTTCTATCGAATTCTAACCTTCTGAATTCCTCATCATCTCTTTCTTTCTCTTTCTAATTAATCTCAGTGAATTATACCTTAATCTTCTCCATTACTTGCCAATACTTCTACTATCGCTACCACTATTGGGTTTGAACTGATGGTTGCGTCTCTGTGCTATTGGGGTATGGCAACCTGAACTGATGTACATACGTACGAAGTTCTACGTTGTAACTGACTGACTGACTGACTGACTATAGGTTTAATTGCTACAAAATACACTGAAACAACAACAACAACGACAACAACTTACGATGTTACTGTGAATCGTACAGGATCAACTCGTGAATGTCCCTGGTATTTCCATTTCGGTATTGATTATTTAAATTGTTATTTTGATTATTATTACTGTGAACTGATGTCGTCGATATCATTGTATTTTCATTATGATTTATTATTACTATTATTATTAGAGCAAGGCATTCGTGATAATGATGGTAAATCGACTCAGGAATAACACTGTCAACATTGTTGTTTTAAAGTAGCCATAGTCAATGCATAGAGTTCCATAAAACGTGGATCATTGAGTAGATGATTAGCAAGTTTCCGAATCAATACCCATGAATTGTTTTAATAAATTTTGATGTGAAAATAATGAATTCGGGCATATAATGATGATGGCATTGAGAGGTTGCTGTTGATGATGACTGTGGTCTGATTTGTGAACTACAACTTGTAGTAGTAGCATCTGAAAATCCTCTTGGTGGTAAATATGGATGATGACCAGGGAGAGAATCCGTTGGATTACGTACAGTAAATGGCATTGAATTGACATTACGATTTGTGAATGAAGCATACTTTGAAACTGTATCATGTATTCGATCATAATTATGAGTTGTGCTAACAGTTGTAGGAAAGTATGGTACTCCTTTTAATGAATCGTTAATTGTTGAATTCCGATATTTATTATTATTATTATTATTATCTACAATTGAATATTGATTTGCTTGTGTAGAATTGTTCAATTTACAATGTATAAAAGATTTATCATAATCATTATGACGATGTGAATATTTATCAGAGATAATATTTGTGATATCACGTTGTTCTGATTTCCTATATGCTCGCTTTTTACCAGTTGGATGTTTTGCAGATTTAGAAAGAATAGTAGTTTGTGGCTTTGTGGATTCTTCTGAACATGCGGAGGAATGAGTTACTTCATCAGTTAGAGCAGCAACACTAAATTGATGACAATGAGATTTATTACTGCTGATTGAATCAGATCGTTTAGGATTTTCAATTGGAATAGAAATCTTTGGCATTGTTTTAACATCATTGGCATCTGAATGGTTACCTAAGACAATTAAATAAGTAAAAACAATTTTGGGAAATTTAAAGAATTTACTACGAACTAATAATGATATATAATATTAAGTCACAAACTGATCTAAGTTAAAAGCCATCATTAGAAACCTTGGAGCACTGGACAGCTGCTTTGTCCTACCTAGTAAGAGACTCCTCAACATTCGCGGCATAAGGGAATCAAAAACAGCAACACTAGTCTCACATGAATACTGCCATAAATAAGACCATAAACTATATGATTTGAAGAAATTTTTTTACTCTAAAGAATTTACCAATTAAATTGTAATAGAAAATTCATATAAATCACCAGTCATCTATGAAATATAAGCCTAGATTCATAGATATTGTGAAGTAGTCATAGAAGTTCACTTCCCTTTAAAGTAACTATACTGATGATGCTCTTTAGGAAGGATAATGATAGTTTCACGATGAAACTATGCAACTCAAAGAAAATTACACCTTCAAAATGTCTAAACAGCTCCATCCTGTATAATAGAATAGATACTTTTCTTTATTGTACGGTGAAAAAAAACAGCATACGAAAACAATAGAGAAAATACTTATAACGGAATGACGGTGTAAAATCATGAAAAAGGCAAGTACAGTGACTCGTACAGTAATGAAACACTCTTTACATGCGAAAAACTAGGAATGACAACAGTTGAGTATTCAAAGCTGAATACATGATCACAATCGATTGTGATGGGTAGTAATATAGTTACTAGCTATTCTACTCTATATAAGTATATATATTTTCGAAACCATGAATCGATCAATGTTAGACCACCATTAGAAACCTAGAAGCACTGGACGTCCGTTTCGTCCTGGTATGGGACTCATCAGCAGTGCGCATCTACGACTCCTGAACCTCGCAAGGTTGGAACTTAGGACCTTCGGTATTGTGCGCGAACGCCTAACCATCGGACCACTGAGCCGGTATCTAACGGTGTTAATGTCTAACTTGATCAATTCACGGAGTTGCGCAACCTCAAACACAGTCTTCAGTAGTTACTGTCTACACCCGAACAGGTTGAACTGCACTGGTCACGTCTTCCCACTAGAACTCGGAGAAGATTCCTCACGAAGCTAGTCACTAGTGAGCAAATATATATATGTTACTAATGTTTACCGATTATCTACGATATTCTTCAAATCCAAAGCTTCATATTGACAATAACAAGAGTGTGCGTTATATAAGTAAATTCACATGTCCAGAAGGATTGAATCAAGAAACTGTTATTCGATAATTATGTATTTTTATCACATAGTTATGAAGATAAATTAAAATCAAAAATGAAGGGAATTGGGTGGGTGATTGAGTGAAGCGCGAAATATAAAAATTTACTATTTTCATTGTAGTTTGTAAATTATTCAAACCAGTCACTAATAATAAATGGACATATTGATTGAAAATAAGAAAAAATTATACTTAACAATCGTGGTAGTAATAATAATGATCTATTGATCGATTATATTTTATTTGATTCACATCTGTTCAATATTTAACTGAGAAAATTCTTTTTATGTTAACGACACATATATATATATATATATATATATATATATATATATATATGGATGTACATATCATTTAATCGAACGACAAGTAGAATCTGGTGCATATGTATATCAGTTCAATTTGTCATCTCCTATATAATTTACACAGTGAAATGAAATTGTCAAGGCAAATCCTATAATAGTAAAATTAGTCACAGAACCAATGATAATAGACAAGATTAAGTATTCAAGATACATTTTGCGAAAATAATCAACCAGTTTAAAAGAAAGTAGGAAGGATATAACATAGAATCTAAGAACTAAGGATCTAAGGGAAGATAACAAGTGACTGGAGCTGTGTCACTGCGAACAATGCTGGACTATATCATCAACCCAAAGTATCTGACTATTGGTTATGATAAGCTAGTGTACCCCAACTAGGTATTGCACTTCGAACTCTTCCATGTTTACTATTGAATAATTATGTGAAATATACGAAAAAACGGGTCATTAGTTTTATGCGTAGACAAGAAAAACAAAAGTATAACTCCCACAGTAGGAGTTGAATTGTAATTGACATTGCAAAGATATGCATACGCTGTTAGGATATTGACATTATTCATTAGAAATGTCACTGATTTACTCTCAAATGAAATATTACGAAAGAATGAAATTGTTTTTAAAACTAATAAAGAACGACGTTATAAGGAATAGATAGACATTATACATGATAGTTGAGTTATGTAGCAAACCAACTAAAAAAAAGTAGCAATAAAATGGACCGATTCAAATTCAACTAGTCAGGGTCTTCAACATAGTCAGTTAGTTGTTGCCGAATTTCTATTAAAAGATACAGTATTTAACAGAGTTAAAAAAGAGTTCAATTTTACACACAAAACACAGTTTATTTCTTTCTATTTTGTCAAAATTAATACTATTTGATTACGACTAAGATACTAGAGTTTACAATGATAGCGATTAAATCAAACCATTAGGCAGTGAATATTAAATTATTCTATTCGTAAAGGTTATTCATAACGAACTACATTGTTAGAATTCGATTAATCGATAATGGATAGTTTTTTCGTATAGGTTAAAACCAAGGCGTTAGTCAATCAGTCAGTCAGCTACAACGAAAAACCTAGTACGTACGTAAATCAGTTCAAGTTACCAAGCCATATTAGCACAAAGACACGAGATCGTCAGTTCAAATCCGACAGTAGAAGAGGTAGTAGAAGTATTAGCGATAACCGAGAAAATTAGGGATCGAAGACATGATTCGAGAAGCCTACCTCAGTAAAATAAATTTAAAAAGAGAAAGACAAAGATGACTAGGGATCCAGAAGATTAGGATTTGGGAGCTGACAAAGAATGGATGTACCTGTGTTATTGCAAGCGATTTTGGGCCATGTTATTCAAAGTCTCTAACCATCGATTACTATCATCTCGTTGACCCGAATCAGGTAGTCTACATCTACCAACATGACTCAGTCCACTTGTCAGTGACTTCATAGATTTGTGCCATGTATTGATCGGGCAGCCTCTTGCTTTCTTCCAGCTTACTCCTCCTACATCGGACAACATCGCGCACCAAGGTAGCCAGTTTTGCTGCTTAGGATGGTCAGAAGACTTCAATTTGTCAGCGTCTTCACTAAACTAAACTTGTCAACAAGTGAATCTTCGGGTAAAAGTTCAACTACAGAAAATTCAAACGATAAAAGTATCATCATCTCTAAAAGCCTAATATAGGAAACATTTTCTGAAATATTTCTTTTATTGTCAAATAGATAGGCCAGTAGTTTGGATAGACACTTTTCCTAGACAGTACTTACTACTTAACTAATTGTCTTTTGCCAAAATATTAAACTCAGTCTCCAGTGGTGTCTATGAAAGTTGAATGAGTTTTAACATTAAAAGCTAATCAGTACGGTGAAGCTTCAAATACAAATATAAACTAATCAGAAGCATATATAAAACAAAACAAATTCTGAAAAAAAGAATAAAAAATATCACTTTTGTTCACTCTCCATTCACCACCATCGTGTAAAATAAGAAAAATGAAGAGAAAGAAAAGAGAATTTGTATAAAATATATATACATATATATATAAGCGCATTCATTCATTCATTCATTCATGATGTATTCCAGTTTTTTTTAACACTTACCATATGTTATCTTGTCAGTTTTTTTTTTGCGGTGAGATAATATCCGGCTAAAATAGAACAAGAACAAGAAAAAATTAGGAATTAATGAATTTAAAGTTTTCAAAGAAAAAATACAGTAGAATAAACGAGAGATTTACATACATACATAAATCAGTTTATTACGCTACGTGCATACAAACACACACACACACGTAAATGAATATACATATATATGCGTATTTATATATGTGATTATCGATGTATAAAACATAGATAAAGTGAAATTTTAGCATTATAATTCACTTTACATGTCGCTCTTATTCTCTCTCTCTCACACACACTCGCTCGCTCGCTCGTTCCTTCGTTCTGTTCTCCATGTTTAACCTCTGATTAAAAATGACATAAAAATTAATTTCACAGTAGGGTATAGCAAACTGATCATAGTTAGACTACTGGTGTAAACCTGAACGAACTGGACAACTATTTTGTATTAGTGTTGGATTCCTTCTTCAGGAGTGCAGTATTTACGACAACCAGGACGAGACCAGGGAATTAAAAAACCAAGAACCTTACATTTCAGGAAGAGCGCTTAACCTCTAGAATATTTCAATACATCCTTGGAAATAAGTTGAACCAGTTAAAATGAAACATGATAATTACATTTTTAAGTGAACCAATAATATCAGTCAGTCAGTCAGTCAGATGCAACGTAGAACTTCGTACGTAAGTACATCAGTTCATGTTGCCATACCACATCAGCACAGACATGTATTTGTCAATTCAAATCCAATAGTAGAAGAGGTAGTTAACGTATTAGAAGTCATCGGAGAGGTTAGGATTAGAAGATATTATTCAAGAAATATGATTCAGTGAGAAAAGTTTAGAAAGTCAAAACTAGAGGTGTTGAAGAATCCAGAAGATTAGGATTTGAGAGAACACAAAGAATGAATGCACCGGCGCCATTGCGAACGATTTTGAGCCATGTCATTCAAGGTCTCTAGCCATCCATTATTATCATCTCGCGGACCCCAACCAGGTAGTCGACAATTACCGACATGGCACAGTCCACTTGTCAATGATTTCATGGATTTCTGCCATGTTTTGATTTGGCCACCCCTAGCTTTCTTCCAACCTATTCCTACACTACAAAACAAAGTTTGTCGAGGCAGTCGGTGGTTAGGCATACGCAACATATGTCCCAACCACCTCAACTGATGAAGTTTCAGCAGTTCATCTATTGGTCTGCCATCCTTACCTAGAACCTGATTCCTAATAACAGCGTTGCTCACTCTGGTGTCCCAGGATATACGAGCAATGCTTCGAAGACACCTATGATCGAAAAACCAATAATATAGATAACAAAGAACGGGAACGTTAAAATGAATTGGTCCATAACGATACTGGTTTGAGAAAATACAAACTAGGAGTGTAAAACATACGATGAAGTTTTTTTTGTTTTACAAAAAAAGAAATGAAACAGCTTAAATATCATAAGAAACAAAACTTCAACAAAATAGTTTTAGAAAATTAGATTATTGATGAATAAACTTTGATAATTAATTTGAATTAGATGAAGCTTAGCTGCAGGTAGTTGGAGCAAAGTCTAGACAGGAGGAGAGTGGCAGCCTGAGAATGCAACAACAACAACAACTAATCAAACTGCATAGGCGGATCAGATTCGAACCCGCAAATGAAAAAAATGCAAAACCACATGTTGATAATTACATATATTACACATTGAACAAATTAATAGCTTTATAGATCCAATAGCATAAAAGATAACTTATTGATGTGTGAAATAATAAATACAAGGGTTCATAGTTCATAATGAAATTAAGATAAAGAGGTATGTGATAGAGATAATGAAAGGTGAAACTGTCAGCAAATTTGTAGATGATAATGTGATATTATTTTAATGTTATTTACATTTTATCATATGACATTATATGACCCAATGAGAAACAAAAGTTTATCCAGTACCAATAATACATGTTGACAATTGGTATATTACTGGTCTGAATCTCTTTTCGATTATTATACGTCGTTCATTAAGCCACACTACCTTAGTACAATCAGCCGATAAGTCCTAGGTTACAGCAAAAAACACACTCCCTGAACCGCAGTGATGCTGATAACTATTCAAAAATGTATAATTTCATTAACTGACGTTAATAACAATAATTGTTTGATTGATATGTAATTTTAAATGGAACTGAAGTATGAACACATCAAGTTTCCATAGAATGAGTAAACAAGTTGACTGGACTACATTTTCAGTCCGACTACATAAACAAAACAATACAGTTTAATGAAACGGGAGGTAATTTCTTTGTTTTTGGAAGAAAAACAACTTGAATTTAAAAGGTGAATGATGGCTGTTCGTTCACCTACCATGAAAAACAGCAAAACAAGATAATTGAAAAACTTTTATTGCTTGAAAGACAGTTTTATAAATAAAATAAACTTAAAAAAATAAAAATTATCAAACGCATTAAAACAAGTGTAGGTTAGTATGCTTAACTTTTGTTGCAAGACTTATTGGCACTACACACCTGTCGATTAGTTATAATCAATCGAGAGACTGAAATATTTACGTGTGTCAGTCAGTCAGTCAGTTGCAACGTAGAACTTCGTACGTAAGTACATCAGTTCATGTCGCCATAACACATCAGCACAGAGATATAATTGTCAATTCAAATCCAATAATAGAAGAGGTAGTAAAGGTAATACGAGTAATCGGAGAGGTTAGGATTAGAAGATATTATTCAAGAAGTATGATTCAGTGAGAAAAGTTTAGAAAGTCAAAACTAGAGGGGTTGAAGAATCCAGAAGATTACGATTTGACAGAACACAAAGAATAAATGCACCGGCGCCATTGCGAACGATTTTGAGCCATATCCTTTAAGGTCTCTAACCATCGATTATTATCATCTCGCGGACCCCAACCAGGTAGTCGACAATTACCGACATGACTCAGTCCACTTGTCAATGACTTCATGGATTTCTGCCATAAATAAATAAATAATATAACTTATTTACGTGTGTGTAAGCATAAGTTAATGCACCATACGGATATGATGAGATGAAATTAATAAAATTTACTAACAAAAGGATAGAAAAAATGCAGTGGTAATTACCATATCCAAACTACGAACTGAGAATCTTGTTTGAAAAGATCGAATGAAAAATCCATGTACAAAAGAAGAATGAGAGTTTAGATTTATAGAATTGTATGGATTCTGAACCGTGTCACCCAACTACCCTGGTATGGCTGAGAGAGGAAAGAATCGGCTCTCCTTTTCCAACTGTTCTCATATAGCCACTGTCAGGTAAATCCTACTCAATGCCTTATCAAACTTAGGATATAGTATGATTTGGCGTATGCAGCACTGAATTTTTAACCATTTTCGAGAAAATAGACTATGCTTTCACAAGCCTAACCATATGCTAACTGATTATCGTAGTCCATAATAATAATAATATTGACAAAAAAAATTACTATCATGATAAAGTGAAATAACCAAATCCTCTCGACCTTGAGATGATAATAAACATGGTAATGGCAACAAGTTGGAAGTAGGAGAGAGAGAGAGTGAGAGAGTGGCGAATAACAAACAGAAAGTAGATATTAACAAAACAACACTAATACAATTCATAAATATCATTATTGATACAGTATCCTATCTAGCTTACAATAAATAGACTATAATGCTAACACACAGGCATGCACACGCACGCACACACACACACACATACAAACATAAATCATAGTTCTGTACTGTTTAGGAATCAGGAGAAAAAAGAGAAAAAATTTATTATAAAGAAAGAAAGGAAGGATAGAAAAGAGGGAAACAAAATGAGAAGAAAACAACAGTACTTAAAGCGTTAATAAAAATCAAATGCATTCAAAAAATAAGACTAGTGAAGCGATAGAGTGATTAATATATCACGCAATGAATTAAAAATTCATTCAACTCGTCTAGTATTACCGTTTCTCATTTAGTTTAATATTTCAAAAATTTAAAAACAGATAAAGTGCCAAGTTTGGCATAGGGATAGATAGATTTCTTTCGAATGAATTCATTATTATCAATCTATACAATCATATAGATTTGAATTATTCGTTCTAATTAGCGTCCAAATATATATATATATATATCAACTCCACGATCTCATATAAGCAATGAACAAACAAGATTATGTAATAAAAAGATTATATAATAATACTAGATTACACAAAATAAATGATAACAATGAAAGATTGTGTGTGTGTGTGTGTGTGAGTGAGCGAAAGTCAAAAAGCCGTTAGAAAGTTAACAATGACTTATAATGTAGTAAATGGAATAAAATAATTAAAATGTTAATGTCACAATAATAATAATAATAATAAACGCTTATCCAGTGTTTCCACCGTTTTAATGTAGGTTTAGATAAGATCAGTGTTTGATTTCAACAGTGAAAATACTCAAAATCTTCAAAAATCCACTATACTAATAAGAATCATATGTTCACTAAGAGCTACTAGCTTGACGATTATCAAATGCATGACTCTATTTTCTCATTACAGATATGAACGAGGATGAATGTATGGACTTGAAGACGGATTGTACAAATTTATGCAAATGTCAAAAACCTGTTTCTCAATCAGCAATCACATAGAACTTGGTATAAATAAGTAACATCAGTTCTAGTTGTGATTACCATATTAGAGCAGAAAGACACGGAATTGTCAGTTCCAATCGGACAGTAGAAGAGGTAGTAGACATATTAGCGGCAATCGAGAAGATTAGAGATTGAAGGTATGGAATTTAAAAAGCGAAAGATAAAGGTCATCGAGAATCCAGAAGATTAGAAATTGAGGGAAGTCAAAGAATGGATGTCCCTGTGACATCGAAAGCGATTTTGAGCCATGTCGTTGCCATTCTACAACCACAGGTTACCGTTATCTTGCACGGCCCCCACCAGATAGTCTACATCTACTAACATGGTTTCAGTGACTTTATCGGTTTGTGTCAAGTTTTGGTTTGGCCGCTAAAGCTTTC